ATTTATTTCAATAACCTTTAAAAACTCTCGCTATTTTTATCTCTTTTGTAGAAAACAAATTGTGTATTTTTAAGATAAAAATAATTAAATGTTCTATTCGAAAGTAATAAAAACAAAAAATAAAAAGAAATAAATTTCACTCGTAAAACAAAATTAAATGAAATTAAAAAAAAGTTTACTAACTTTCATTAATCAAACAAATCCTAAAAAAGAAAATGCATTCGTCGTTTTCATTCGACATACTGGTGTTCTGGTAGACGACGCCTTGTATTCGTACTCGTTGCCATCATCGAGATGTAAAAAGCTGGAAGGAGTCGTGACAAACGATCTTGTCGTGAACGCCAACCCCTGCCTTCCTCCTCCACCCACGTTTCCTCATGCCATTTAATAGTCGCGACTTCTGCTTCCGAAGATTTACCCCGATTTTACGCTTCGAACGATACACGATGGATTTTACGCGAGAACCACCAATCAAATTCACTTTTATATTTTTGCGATCTACCAAGAAACCGATTGATAGTCACGAATTATCATATATCAGTTATATATATTTTTTTGGTAATTACTCATAATTACTCGTAACTCACTGTAACAATTTATTGTTAGGAATTTTAATTTTAAAAATATTTAAAAGATCATTATGATAGAACAAAAATTTTATTAATATAATAAAATGATATTATTATTTTATAATTATTTTTTAATATTTTAATAAAACATAAAAAAATATATAAAATAAATACAAATTTAAATTAAATAATATAATTACTTTATAATTATTTTTTAATATTTTAATAGAACATAAAAAAAAATATATAAAATAAATATAAATTTAAATTAAATAATATTATTATTTTATAATTATTTTTTAATATTTTAATAAAACAAATAAAAAATATATAAAATATTGTATATAAAAATTTAATTAAAATAATATAACTATGTTATAATTATTTAATAATAATTTTAAATATTTTAATAGAACATAAAAAAATATATAAAATAAATACAAACTTAAATTAAATAATATAGTTGTTTTATAATTTTTTTATAACATATTTTAATATATATTTATATAATATATTATATAAAATTAAATTTAACTCTTTAAAAAAGCTTTCAACTCGTTAGATTGTTAATTATAAATTTTCTATTATTATCACTGTTATAAATCTCAGCAATAAATAATCATATCACTACAATTACATTAAGAAATTATATATAACATAAATAATTTATACAATGTAATAAATAATTATCGATAATGACTAAAAACATCTGTTTTTATAATCTTCCACATATATATTTCAAAGTTCTTAATGTAATCCATACGAACAAAATTAATTGTAAAAAATAAAACTAAATATACGTATCATAAAATTCAACAAAAGACTAATCGAATACGTTAATAAATCTGATGTGAGAAGTTAAAAAAAAAAAAAAAACGTTTTTCTAAATCCTAAAAACCATTCTTCAAAGTAACCAAACTTACCTCGTTAAAACAAATGTGTCGAATACTTCTTTACTATCGTTTGAAAGAAACACGTTTTTCGAAATGAGAAGGGTCGTGAAGATAAGAAATCGTATTGGCAAAGGGAAAGACGGAGTAACCGTCGATCCTTCTTAAAATCGGGGTTAATCGAAAACATTTTGGAACGCTTGTTACTCGCAGCACGTAACTCGTGCCACGCACGATGAAAGGGATAGAAAAGATCGTTGAAATATCGCGATAGTGAATACCCGTGGTCGGCTTTTTTTGCAAACTTCTGTGATCATATCTCCCAAAACACTCACTTATTCTTGTGTTGTCAAGAGCTGTGCCAAATTGCGAATCGATGTCACATTGACACCCCCCACCTAACCAACTACCACCACCACCACTGATACTACATCGGTCAAACGGGGTGAACACCCTTCGATAAAGCATAATGAGATCACGAAGAAACGACAGCTTTTTCAATCTTCTCGTATTTTTTTCTTTTTCATCTTCCTTTTTGCTTCTTTATACTTTTTTATTCCTTTTCTAGGTTCTTTTTTTCTCTGTCTTCCTTCGTTTTCTTTTTTTTTCTTTTTCTTTTTTTATTTCCAATGGGGTGACTTGTTATGAACGAACGAACGAACGAACGAGCTTCCAACCCCTACCCCAACCATCTCTTCTCATCTGACTCACCCTTATTCTCGCCAGTGCCATATCGGAGCGCAGTAATTAAACGTACCGCCTTTCGTCTTCTTGATTACATTTTTACAATCTGCAAATTACGATCGCTACTAAGATCAGAGAAACGTCCATCATTAATGTTTACGTACCATCCATATTTTTCTATTATTATTAATCTTGACTAATATCACTAGTATTTTCTTATTTTATTTTTTTTTTTTTCTTAACATCAAACCTAACAACTGTTTATGAACAACTATTGATATTGTTACACAATTTAATGACTGACGTTTAAATTAAATTTCTATATTTTTGTAATTAAATATAAGTAAATGATTTTTTTAAACCTAACCTAAAAACTTAATTGAAATTAAATTTCTATATTTTATAATCGAATACGGATAATAATCGTTTTTTATCGTAGTAATGATTGGAATAATATAAAAAAAATATATATTATTATACCACATCATCTAATAATATTTATAATCTTAATTATAGTTAATTAAAATTTCTTATCAATATTTTTTCTAATACCACAACTATTTTCTTATTATTTTTTTCTTTCTTAACATCTGTTCGGTATCAAACCATTTGTAGACGATAACATATATTTAGTTATTTTTTCATTTATTCAATTTCATTTGAAGAAAACCATATCATAAGTTTATGGAATCAAATATCATAGAATATGTTAAGCCTTAGGTATAAGGTATCGTCTATTTTAAAGATTCCACTCAAGGACTCAAATTAAATTTTCTAACCATTTCAATGACCATCGAAACATATTGAGGCAACTAAAAGCATACTAGTGTTGGGTCCTTCGAGTGATATACAATACTTAAGTGAACATGAAACAATGCACATGCGAAGGGTACTATTCAGAAAAGAAATTCCTTATGTTCCCAGAAACCCCCACTACCATCCTTCCCAAAAAACATAAACTTTCCCATCGGGTCACTCTAGTGGGTGGACCCTCCTACTCTTGGTTAATAAGTTGCATTCAGCTCCTTCCCTCTCCAAAGGGGTGTAACTAATTCAGATATAAAAACATGTGCAATCAAGTAAGACTCACTGTTCATAATGCATACGTTCTGTTCGTAATACATACGCTCTCTCTTCGTAATACATACTCTCTTCGCTCATTATACATTTTTGTGTTATACATTTTACACATCATACATCTATATAGTCCACATTAAACAATTGTAACATAGTCGCCAAAGACAAGTTAATAAATCATTGTTGACTGAAGAAGTGCCTTTAGTATACAACAAAACCACTCACACTGTATTAGTTTACCGTCGTGAGATTTTCCGTGCAACTCGCGTATAATTGCATCTTAAAAACAGTACGCTACTTTTAAAACGGATTCGCGTCAGCAAAACATATAGTGCGTGCTAACAACATCAAACCTCACTGTTTATGAACAATTATTGATATTGTTAAACAATTTAATGGCTGACGTTTAAATTAAATTTCTATATTTTTGTAATTAAGTATAGGTAAATGGTTTTTCTTAAACCTAACCTAGAAACTTAATTGAAATTATATTTCTATATTTTATAATCGAGTACGGATAGTAATCGTTTTTGTTTCGTAGTAATGGTTGGAATAATACAAAAAATAAATACCTTATTATTCAGCAACATATAATATTATTTATAATCGTAATTATAGTTAATTAAAAAATTAAGAGTAGCAATAACTTTGAACGTAGAATTTTTATGGATAATTTAAAACCGGTCGTGTAATATTAAGTTGAACGTTAAAACGCGTTTACGTATCTTTAATTTTTTTTAATTTCATATATCTTGATATCTTTTTTCTCTTTTTTTTTTTTTTTTTGAAATGTATATACATGGCGTAATAAAATGAACACTTTGATCCAACTTTATTATTTTTCATTTCTTTTTTTTTTTTTATACTCGTTCGCAAATAAAAACGATTAAATAAAGCCACGTGCGTGAAATAACACGAAACGCGACTAGAGCACGCGTACATCATTTTTATTTTTACAAAAGTACAAGGACAAAGTGATATTTTATTTCGCGACGTGACGTACTGGAATGAAATTACATGAAAATTAGTACAGTTTAATTCACAGAACTTGCACAAAACCCTCTCGGATTCGTTTATAGCTGCTTCGCAACTTCTATAATTAAAATGTCGTGTATTACGATACAAAAGGTGATACACAGATGCTGAAGTTTTCGTAATGAGACGACTGATACGAAAACTTCGCGTTACATTATATAAGCGATATTTATTAAATACAAATATAAATTTTATTTTTAAATGATTGAACCTTCGATCTTAGCGTAATTGGAATAAATAAAAAATAAGTAAAAACTATTGATAATGTTTATTCATAAATATTACAAAAGGTGATACAGATGTTAAAGTTTTTTTTAATGAGATGATTATTACTAAAACTATACTATCCATTCTTATTTATTACAAACATTATTGATTTTTTTTTAATACAATTAGATCTTATTTTTATATTCATGAATCTTTGATCAACCCATTTGTAATAATAAAAGAAATGAAGAGCTATAAAGAATCAATTCGTGACTATAACGAGATCCATTAAAAATAAACAATTAATGGGATTTCTTTATCGTAGGTGAAATAGTTTATAATTATTTTATATAAATAAAAGAAATAAATAAAAGAGAAAATGGCACAGTTATTTAAAAAAGAGTTATTTAAAAAATTAGTATTAGTGTTATCACTCAACGAGATCTAAAAGAAACTCGTCGTTTAAAAAGTTTTCGCGGGAAAACAATTTTCACAAATAAGTGCTGTTATCTAAGGACTTTTTGTAGACAATTTTCTGACTTGCGATGAAACATCGAATTTTCTTCGAGTGCTGCCATCTCTTGCAGAAATAAAACACCACTCTTCTATATAAAATCCTTGCAGTAAGGTTTGAATAATCGTCTGTCGAGTATTAAAACTCGGCCGACATTGCAGGGTCCTCTTTCACCTTCTTTGTAACATTTACCATTTCCGGGCCAAAAGATAAAGTTATCCGGACATTGTTCAGCTTTCTGAATGTATTCCGCTTGATCGGGAAAGTAGACAAAATCTGAATTTAGAAGACGACTTATACCGACGGTCGATCTTAGTAGAACACAAACTAGCAGTAGAAATGACAATGTTATCTTCATATGCATTTTTGAATATCCTTCCTTCAACTGGTAATATAAACTCTGACCTCTCTTTTCGTCCTAAAAAAAAAAAAACCAGAAAAAAATTTATAAATATTCGTTAAAACACAGATGGATTGTTAGAAAATTGAAAAATAAATTAAAAATTTCAAACGAGGTTAATAAAACCAATTAAATCTTTTTCATCGATGTATTTATAATAAATGTAAAAAAGAATGAAATAAATCAAATTTATTTCCATGAAATTGATATTATGTTTATAAAATTAATTTCATAGTTATATTAATTTATATGTACATGTGAAAAAAGATGATACAATATTTTGTATCATTTGATTTATTGAAATGATTTAAACACGTTTTATACGAACGGAAATATGATCGGTATGAAAGCCCATCCTTTGGATTCATTCGCGTATCCTCTACTTTCAGTACACTTTCAAAGTTGGCAAATACGTCGAATATTGAAAGGAAGCCACACAATATCTAAGATTTCTGATATGTGAGCTTGCTTCTATACAACACAGCTTTAGCAAACAGATCCGGATTTGATCGATCGACTATATGCGTTCAACGTGAAGCGCATATTATTATAGTTACATCATTCATGTTCCAAATAACCGGATTTTCGCGAGCTAATACATTCCCATTTAAATTTAACATGAAAATACAATATCTCACGTTATTATTCCTTCGAAAGTCAATACTCGTTACGACCTAGTTAACTCGGTTTCGCATAATAGAATGACATAAAGTTAATACAATTATTATGTGTTTTTTTTTTCTTTTTATTCACTATAATACGTAACGTCTAAGTAAAATCGTTTCAATAAGATTTTCTCGATCCTATAAAATTGATGAGATAAAAAATACAAATATTAATTCTTTATTTAAGTGGCAACTCGAGTGGCGCTGATACGGCGCCAGGCTGATTTGAAGTCTTTTGTTACTCTATCTGCTTATTTAGGATATATGATAAGATATTTTCTTTAAGATATTCTTAAAGATAATACCTAAAGGGACAAAAAGGGACTGTAAGGTTTTTTCTGATTGTAATACATCTTGAAATAAGCGAAAAGTAATATATTATTGTGATACGTGTTCTGATAAACCTAAGATGCATCTTGGGTATTGTTTTACGAAATATTAAACAAAAACTAATTACAGAGTATAATATTTCTCAAATTTTGTTCTTTTTGATATAAAAATAAATAAATTGGTGAAATTTAATTAGTTGTATACGTTTGTTTGCTTATAAATGACTTTAACACGTTAAGCGCTACGTCAACCATCGGTGGCTGACACTAGACTTTCCGTTTAGGCCGCGTCCGTCATAGGTGACTGACATGTTCAACTCTTTTTTCAATACAAAGTAATTCCTGTGTTCCGGGGAAAAAAAAATTTCCCTGTGACGGGAATTTCCCTAAGAATCCGCGTGACGCTCAACGTTTTAAAGTATATGTAAAATGATTCCCTAATTTAGCCGAAATCGCCTCGAGTTGCTCGTTAGTGCAAGTGAAAAAGGTCTCGAGTGCAAAAGGTTAAAAACCTTTGCTTGCTTTAAAATATATCGAGTAAGTAAATAGAGGGGAAAAGATAAAAATGATAATTATATTAAACATATATATCATTAGTAATGATAAAATTTTCTAAAGTAAATAAAATCATATCGAATTCTTGAAAATTTGTTGCTTTAACGATACGTGACAGATAGTGAGATGAAACGATAGATAAAGAGAGAAAGAAAGATAAAATCGGTAAAACGAAAAACAGGATATTTGTTTCAATGGTATCGCGTTACGTGAGATTATACGATCTAGGTGGTTCCAATGGGAAAAGAGGAATAGGAACGTATGAGAATCGTGCGATTTCAGTATCTGTGGAGGAAAGTTTCGATTTAATTTTCCGTCGGGGGACAAAATTGCTCACCATTGCGATGCATTTCGAGAAACGTGAAAGAGAATAAGAGAGAGAAAGAGAGAGAGAGATAGATAGAAATAGAGATAGTTCGTGCGTTTCAGTATTTTGGGGCTTCGGTGCGTTTCATATCGTATTTCCTAACTCGACGATGAACGCGAGAAACCATAGAAAGTTTTGTAAAAGACGAAACAACCCTTCTCCACATTTCTATCTTACCTTGATACGAATCTTTGCGATAACGATTCGCGCAAAAATTTTTAATGAGAATAAGAAGAACGAGATGAAAGAATGAGAGATAGAAAGAAAAAGTGAAAATATGTCTTATAGCTTTGACACAAAGTAGATCAAACAGCTAGGGGTTGGATGATAAAAAGAAAGAGAAAATAAAAAGAGAATTAAAAATTCAGTTTTATAGAATGAAGATTTTGTAAAAGAGTAGTACAAGCTAAAGGGATGAAGAACCGCTCGTATTATTATTATTGTTAATGGAAACTCAAGATGATCGAGCTCGTTAATGAGAATCGCGTCGAGCAAATGAATAAAAAAAAAAAAAAAGAAACAGAGAGAAAAGATAAAAGAGGAAGTAAAATAAGAAAGTATAATGTAAAATACACAACGACGACTATGACGATTATAGAAAGAAATGAAAGTTCGATCGATTGTACGAAAAAAAAAAAGAAAATAATACGAGATAAAAAGTTTAGTAGTGAGTAGTTATGATAACGAATAATTAATCGAAACTCTGTATGTTCATTTTGTTATGAGGAAAATAATATGAAAGAATGGATAACGATAACGACGAATAAAAAACAGGAAACATTGAAGAAGATTTTTCTAAAGAATAATGAGACAAATACATATATACGACGAATATATATATTCAATGATAAAAATGATAGAACGGAAGTAGATAATTAAAAAAAAAAAAATAAATAAAAAACAAATAGATGAAAAGCAAAAAAAATGAGAAAAAGGAATGCAGAAAAGGTGCATGTAAACAAGAAGAAAAATCATCGTTAGATCTTACTCGTAGTAACCTCTTGTTAAACTTTAACTGTATGCGAATCAATTAGTGCCCGTCAAGTGTATATGACGACATTAACAAAAAGGTAGTGTATGTAAATGAGAAACAAATACATAGATGCATACATGCATATATAGAATCGCTTGCCATACAACTTGCTGTTTTCCACGTCAGATCATTATTACTGATGTGAGCATGTATTTCAACGAGACATTGAAGCTAGAGTATTAATTACTGTCGCTTCGAGCTACGTCCACTTGAAATGACTTGTAACAGACACACGTAAATAGATGTACCGGGTGTCCCAAAAGACCTTTTTCCCAATTGAGATATTACAAACTTTTTTTTCCTGAATAATTGAAATAGTGATATCATATGCTAATATTTTTTTTACGCATTATAAAGGTTTTTTCAAATGATTAATTGTTGAACTGAAAAATTGTAAATGATTAATTTTATAAAAAAGAATTTATTAAATATAAATTTTATTTAATTATTAATTTTACTAGAATATTTCTATATCGTGTACCCTAGATTTTTTTAGTAACATTATGACCGAACATTCATATCTTGAAATAAATAAAAAAATATTACATTCTATAAACCCATTACCTGTCACAATACAAAAATACAAAAAGAATTAAATTAATTGTATAATAATATTCATATTAACCAAATAAATTTTGGAACAATTGTTTTTTTTTTATTTAGATAAAAAAAATATTTTATATAATTAATTATTGATTTAAAATAATATAGTAAAAATTTTGAATATTTTTAAAGTTGCATTAAAAAATAATTTGAGAATGCGTCCCAAATAAAGGCCATTGGCGAGTAATGGGTTCAAACACTAATATTAGTTGTTTCTTTTTTTATCGAATTATTTTTTCCTTTTTAAAAAGAGTACTTTTGGAACACCTTGTATAGGAACGTACGTAAGCATGTATAATTTCATTGATTGGATGGTATCGAACAAAATATCAGGCTCCTATAACTCTTGTATATATATTTTTTTTTACTTTAAAAGTTCACATTTTTCGTATGCTCGATCAAATATAAAATATGTAAATAAAGATTATAGGATAGATAATCGTTTATCTCGAGTATATTACATAACGTTTAAAATGACGCCCGTAATAAAATTCTTCTTCCGAGGAAAGAGAAGAGAATAAAGTGAAGATGAAAATGAAGAACGAGAGAGAGAGAGAAAGAGAGATTACAATCGTGAGAAAGTTTAATTTATTATTCGCGCCTTAGGGCATTTCGCGGATATGCCCTTTTGCACGTAATTAAACGCGTACGAAAAGGAATCCCCGAGACGGGACGTAACATCTTGAAAATCGCGCCGAAAGTTTTCACGAAAATACGTCACGCATTATCTCTTGTTGAACAAGAAAGTAAACTCGTAGGTTGTAGGATCTCTTTCTATCTTTATTTCATTCTTTCTTTCTTTGCTTTGCTCTTCTTTCTTTTTCTATAGCATATCTTCCTTCCCTCAGGTAAGAAACTCCTCGTAATTCCGGAAGAAAGTTTTCGACTTTCCCTGAACACACCACGATACAGTGACCGAAGCTTTAAAGAGATAACAACCATCTCACTCTCAGATTCTCTGTTATCTTACTTTCGAATTTATTGTTCACGAGTAATGTTTAATTCTGTCTACTTTCTTGTGCCATGTCTATTTAAGAAACCTTCTCCTTCTCCTACTAGCCCTAACCTTTTCTTTGTTTGCCATAACCTTACCTACGTTTGTATCTTCGTATAATTAAAATCAAAAAAATACCAAAAAAAAGATAAATTTAGAAATTAGATTTTCACTATTTTATAATGAACTGATTTTTTATTTTATAATTAAATATTATATAAATATATTTATATAATTATATAATAAATATATTATATAAGTGTATTAATATTATTATTAATTATAATATATTAATTTATAATATATTAATTTATATATAATTATTATAATTATATATAGTATATAATAAATATATATACTTATATATTATATAATAATAATACAGTATGTAGCATATAATTATAATATATATTATATAATATTATATTATAATTATTATAATTATATATATAATAATAA